CCGGAATGAGGGTGATCAACATACCCTCGCAGCACAATGCTTTCAGAACCCGTGAAACCAGCGGAGATGCCATGTGAGGCTATGCAAGGGCAGTTTCGGCCTCGCTATGCTGGAGTAAAGGTTCGGCCTCGCCTCGGCTGAGGGAATGGATGGTTCGGCCTCGCCAAGGCTGAGGGAACAACAGAAGGGTTGCGAAAACGCCTCGCTGATGAAGAAGGTGCATGATGTTCCGGCCTCGCATCAGCTGAGGGAAGAATGATGGAATGGGCAGGCCGGGCACTTATTGGTCTGCCGGAATTGAGTCTGGGAGACTCTGGAAGCACTGCATGCAGCTTGGACGGCTGATGCTACTGGGCGCAAAGCGGTAAAGCAGCTTGAAGCATAGACTCCGCGGTGCCGGTGTGTCGGAGCAATTGATAGGTACAACCGCAGCCCAGCAGTGCTCAATCAAACAAAGCAACATTCGGCCTCGACTTTGGTCTGAGGGAATGTGAGCTATAAAGAGCAAACTCCAGAATATGGATGAGGGACACTGGCCAGGCATGGAGGCCAGCAAAGGGCAGGTACCAGCATTGCACTGGAGAAGCCTCGAGTCCCAATGGCAGTGAACTTTGTGGTGAGGAATACGTCGACTGGTAAGTAAGTGCGAGAAAGCCAGGGCGATTCTGGGGAGAACAGCAAGGCACGGTTAGTAAGTGCGAGAACACCGGAGCTGCTGAGAACCCTGGATTAGCCGGGACGTACTCCGTGGAGGATTCGTTGTCACTGCTTTCAGAAATGCCCACAAGGACCAAGCATGCAGCTAAACCCGTGGTCGCAGAGTGGGCCTCACTTCGGTTGAGGGTAATCGACTCCCAAGTGAGAGTATGGAGTTTTGGTGGCAAACAAGAGAGCCAGCCGACTGTCTTTGGAACAATGGCTACGGCTGGATTGGAGAATGTCAAGTCTCACAATGGATAGCGGCCTCGTACATAATATCCTCACAGGCAGGGTGGGTTTGACCTGGTAGTCGGCACCTTGCCCGGCCCCCTGTCAGGCGCCTGTACCGGCCACCTGTTGAAGGTGTGTGGCGTGGGGTCACCGGTGCGTAGCGGCGATTTCGGTCGCTTAGCGTCCTCCAGCCTAAAAAGGGGTATGTTTGGGCAGGTACTTCACCTGTTCCTCCTGCTTGGCTCGTGTTGGAGATGTGTGAATCGAGGGCATGGATCCGTCAAGGTGAGATGACGAGAAAGTGCAGAATTGGGCCTCAATCAATATGGAACGGTATATGGGGATTGACCACCCCGCTGGTAGAGGGATAGCGGCCTCTGAGAATCGGAGGGCATGGATCACCTCCCGGCAAAAGCCACAGGAAGTATGCCCTGTGCATGCAAGAGGCAGCCACCGTAACCAGAGTCCATGAAGCCTTGGGCCAGACATGTCCGGCCTCACTACGGTTGAGGGGTGTGGATGGGAGCACTCAGGACATGCAATGAGACTCGTAGAACGAGCATCTGGGTCTACAGGAATTGACCTCCATTCGGTTGAGGGATAGCGGCCTCCACGAACGAGGGCATGGATCACCTCCCGAATAGACAACACAGAGAATGTGCAAGCATACAGGCAATTTGCCTTGGCCAAAGTCTTCAAGCCAATGGCAACGACTTGGTCAAACCGACATTCCGGCCTCACTTCGGTTGAGGGTAGCGGTACGTCAAAACCGAGGACAAGGAATGAGAGGGGGAACTTACCGGCAGTTTCACCCCACAGTTTTAGTAAGCTTTTGTTTCACTTGAACCCACAGCCCCTTCGGGTGGCTACGCCTCGCAGCGTGCAGACGAAAAATTCACCTGGCTCAAGGTTTCGGCTCAACCCCGGTGGGGTGCTCAGGTAGAGAGCGTCTTTAGTGCCGTTGTGGCTGGCCCTGGGGCTTGTAACTAAGGGTAGGTTCCGTTTTGAGGCCCTGGCAAAACTGTGTTTGCTCGTAGGCCGGCTGACCGGCTAAGCTGTCATAGAGCGGCGGCCCGCCAACTGCTGCCGACGACGAAGGACGTTCGAGTGCACAGTTTTCGGCCTCGCTTCGCTGGAGGGAAGCTTTTCGTCCTCGCGTTGCTGAGGGAACCTTGTGGCCTACAGTCTGCTCTGGGTCACAGTGAGAGTTGCAGCCTCGCTTTGCTTGAGGGGTGACGCTAGAGCCTGTTGCTCACCAGAGATTCCTGCTGTCTCTGGGTGAACAAAACCCGCCGACCCTCATTTGGATTGAGGGCTTGTGTTAGGGTGAGTTTGGGTTCCTCGCTCGCTTGTGTGGAAAACGAAGGTGAGTCCGAAACACGGGGGAAAACGGCCAGGCACGCTGCAGACAGTGCAGGCCAACGTCGCACTGCAAGCGGCATCCTTGCAGTTGTTGACAGGAGTGTCCCGAACAATAGCGGTGTGCTTGAGCCCGAGTTTGCTGGTTTTCGGGGATCTGCAAGCTGAGCACAACAGGTTATTCTTCGCAGGTAGCATCAGGTAGAACAGATTTGGCCCAACCCTGGTGGATCTGCCTGGACACAAATAACCAAAGGCATCAGTGTCGTAAAGCTCATTGACTGGTGCTGCTGCTACTGAGAAACCGTTGCCAAAGAACTTGCAGTAGGACTGTGGTGCGGCACAGTGCAAGTTGAAGAGCAGCTGTTGGTGGCTGCTCCCCGGCAGACAAATAGTCCAAGATAGCCTTCTTCGGCCTCGCTCCGTGCTGAGGGTTTGTAAAGGCTGGTATTGGCCGGAAAGGACTCAGATGGAGGTACCCGAACTTCTCGCTTTTCCCATCTGAAGGCAACCAATGGTTATCAGCCTGCTGGACATGGCAGGCCTACTTTTGTTTACATCCACGTCTCCTGCAAGGGCTGGGGTCTGTCCGTGCACACAGACAAGGCGGAACCTTGCAGATGTTTAGGTCCTCGCGGCACGGCCGCTGGAGGTTGTTTGAAGATGTTGGCTCTCACTGTCTGGTGAGTGGTTTGTATGGGCACTTGCTGGGGCAAGGCGGCTCTGGCGTCTGAGGATGGTACATGTGCTGGCTGCTGAGTACGGGCCACCGAAAGAGACCTGTGGTAAGACAAGCGATGAAAGGAGCCGAGGACAGGCTAGCTCACGCGGACGCCACGCAGAGTATGTGTCACTATCTTCAGATGTTGGAGCCAAATTGCCTCGCCGTGTGACGTGAGATGTGGTGTTTGGTTTCGGCCTCAAGCACTGGAAGGCCTACAACAACAAATCCGAATGAAAACTGTGGTCCTAAGACACGCGGAGCAGCTGCTTATACGTGGCACCGCGGGGGTCACATAGAGATAGAGGGCTTGGCAAGGGAACTCTGTCTAGAGATAGCCCTGGCTCAGTGAGGAGCTGAGGGCCTGGCTGCGCAGATGCAGCGAATGGTTGTTCGGCCTCGCCCCCGCTGAGGGAACAACAGTCAAGGCTTCTCTGCAGTGTCGGTCCGGGTTAGTAAGAGCGAGAACGCCGGGACCTCGAGCTGCAGTTTTACCATGAAGCAACCGCGTGAGATGCATTATTGGTCAACTGGTGAGTAAGAGCGAGAAAGCCAGGGTGACGCTACTTTGGGGGAGGCTGCAAGGCACGGTTAGTAAGTGCGAGAAAGCCGGAGCTGCGGACGAACCTGGAGTAGCAGTCTTTCATACCTCACGTGTTTCACTTTGCGGCCTCGCATGCGCTGAGGGAATATGCCTCGAACAGAACATCCAGTGCTGAGTGGGGATTGCCAAATTACGGAGGCTGATGCCACAACAAGTGCCTCAACAGCAATGCATGCGGAGGGCAAAGTTCGGCCTCGCGAGTGCTGAGGGTTGCAGCTGAGAGAGGGCCTAGCTGAGAACGCAACACCTCAAGCGAGGTAATTTTTAGTTTAGTTTCACCTTGACCAACGGCCGCTTCGGGTGGCTACGCGACGCAGCGTGCAGACGAAAAATTCACCTACCGAGGACAAGGAATGAGAGGGGGAACTTACCGGCAGTTTCACCCCACAGTTTTAGTAAGCTTTTGTTTCACTTGAACCCACAGCCCCTTCGGGTGGCTACGCCTCGCAGCGTGCAGACGAAAAATTCACCTGTAGTGTTTGCCCAGTTGGTGCCATGTGGTGTTTTACTGTACAGAGAGAAGCATGAGAGTTTTTCTGCTGCATGACGTGACATGAGCATGTTTGGTTTTGCCCGAAGTCCCTAAAGCATGTTTGGGTTGACTGCGACGCATGTCTTGTCTTGTTGGCATGGCCTAGGATGAGTTTTGAGGCACTTGGAACTGCAGGAGAGCAGTAGTGAAGAAGTGCGTGTCAGAACTCTGAGGTTCTGTCTTGCTGCAACTCACTCCGTGTCCCCGCCACTTCGTTCGTTGCCGTTGGACGTGTAGGATGGGAGTAGGAGTGCAGAGTGAACTCTGAAGCTTCGCTGTTTTTGCTGTTCGGAAGTGACCTGAAGTCCCCGAGGTGTAGACCAAAGCAGTTGCATTGTTCTTTTGCTTTACCTCCTTTGTAGAACAAAGTTGAGATGGAATTCGTAGCTTTTTGGAGCCCTTAGCTCTTGGAGAGAGCTTGCTGCAAGAACTGAAGCTTGCTGAACACTTTGGTGTTTGGCTCAAGTGCGAAGTGAAAAAGAGACAGCTGCGCGAGCTCTGCTTTTCACATTCTTGCAGTTTGTGCCTGCGCAACCACGTGGATCCAGTTTTTTGGTCGTAGGCATTTTTCCAAGCGATGTGTCAAGATTGCTTGCGTGCGTTTGCGTTGCTCCGAACAAACATGGATCGACTTCAACGGTTTTTTGAAGGAGGCCCAAGATTCATCATGGTTAGATTTGGCTCAACATGAGCAAATGTGCACGAACATGCCATACATCGATCGAAGACTGTTGGTCACCGAATGTTCAAGCCATTTAAGCTCGGTTGCAGCAATGAGAAACAGGACAGACTATCAGCAGGTTTCAGCAAAAGCGCAACTTGGATGCCGTAGCGTAACGTTTTAACGCTGTGTTATGCTGCTGCATGGGAAAAAAAGATGGTTTCCACGCAGGCCTGGTTGGACTTCGTCGTGTTGAAGTTGCTTCTGTTGCCGTCGTGAGGTTTCACTTCAACGTTCCTCGCTTGCCAAGACCCCTGCCAACCGCTAGTGCCAGGAGCTGGGGGTGGATTTGTATATGTAAAGGAGCCACAATGCAAGTTTTTTGTCATTGCTGCTACATTATCGGGTTTTCCATTGTTTTCTTCCGGCCCACTATTGCCGCATTGCCAACCGGAAGTTAAAACACACACACACACACACACACAGATTTTGCAGCTGCATTTGTTCAGGTCGTTTCCCGAAACTGCTGTTCTCCGCATGATCACTACACTGCCACGGTTTTGGCCCTGGCTTTTCTGATCTTGAAGACATGTCGGGACGACTGCAAGGACTTGGTTTGTTGTTTGCAGTTTCGGATGAAACCGGTGAAGCCGGTTGCACGGCCGCGTGTAGCCGACAGGCGACTTGTAAGCCCATGTCAGAAGCACCATCAACGATGTTTTATTCACGAGCATATTTGTCCAGTACAGTGTTTATGGCAATCGGCGGATAAACAACAGGTTGCCCATGCAAGAGTGGGGGCTCCATCTGGCAACGTTTCTGGGTTTTGCGTGGACGGTGGTTGAATTCAGGTTGAGACTCGTTGCGACGGTTGGAGGGGCCGAACCAGGTGCATGAATTCGAACTGTCAGTTTCTCCCTCCCCCCGCCCCCCCCCCCCCCCCCCCCCCCCCCCCCCCCCCCCCCCATGCCGATTCTTTGCAAGAGTCATTCCGAGCTGCGGTTAGGTCAAGGTCATGGTCATGGGTCGGTGAGGCCACACCCGAGATAATGGCTCGCCAAGGCAGGAGCAACATCAACAGTTGCTTCGGCTTGAGAGCATGAATGAATGATCAACAGCCCGACAAATCAGTAGCTTGCTTTGGCTCGGCGTTGCACACCGCGATTACTTGCGTAAAGCGGAGAACTTATGACCTGGAGGGCTTGTAAACCCGCAGCACAGTACTAACGTTTTGTTTGAGTCATGGTAGTGCCATTGACGATGCGCTCGGTGAGAGCATCGTGGTGACAAACAGGTTCCAGGGCAGGATTGCAAAGTCATGTCGCCCAAATGTGACATGCATAGCACAATCCCTCGCAGCCGAAATGAAATTGTGCCGAAAGCCATGGGAAACACAAGCTCGGAACGAGTCTTAAGATGCAGCAGTGCGCCCGAGTGCAAGCCAATGCGGCTCATTGCTTGGCTTACCAAGCGAAAAGTGTATACACGGACGCTGACTGCATGCACTTCCATCCGATGTGCAAGCAGGGTTGAAGATACAAACGCCGAGCCCTGCCAAGCATACGTAGCAGCATCGTTCGTTGCACTTTGCAAACTTCAAATGGTTTGCGATTGTTTTTTGCGCTCACAAACGCGAAAAAGGAAGCCTCGTCATTAAATCCGCTTTGCGCTGCCCGCCTCAGCCCTGCTCACCAATTTTTAGTCACTCACGACGCGGCGCAGCGCTTGGCCTGGGTGGGATCACATCGCGCACCTGCTCCTCGACGACGCCGACTCCTCCGTGACTTTTTCGTGCCTTGGTAAGCCCGGGCATGTGTGGACTTGTCGTCCTCCCTTGGTCGCTCGCCGCCCTGCCCAGCACAATACTCAGCAGTTTGACGAAGTCACCCGACGGACCGTTTTGCCTTGCTGATGCACTGTCCGGTCTGTCGGCATCGGCTCATTCAATATCGTGAGCCACCAATCTGTGCTGAGCTCTGTCGCAAAGTCACACGGTTCATTGGCACGATTGGTGACATCGTATTGGCGCCCATATTTTTTTCTCACTTTTCGCCTTGAATGCTGTAGGAAAGCACGCCCCCACCGGATGGACGTTAGGCTTCTTGGGCGACATCGTTGCGGTGTGGGCGCTGCGTGTGCACACTTGCAGGCTTGGCGACGTGCTTTGTTTGGCCCGTCACAAGTTGATGAGCGAAATGCGTCATCTAAGTGAATCCCGCACTTGGGGATGTCACGTCATGTGTGGCATCACTACATGCCTTTCATGACGGTATGAACGCGCCACGCGTCCTGCACATGCCTTGTTGCCGTAGGCTGACCGCTTGATGTCTTTTTTTTTTTGGGGGGGGGGGGGGGGGGGGGGTTTCGGACCACAAGCCTGACGGCGCTCTTTGAGGGCACAGGGCAAAACAACAACAAAGTCAGAGCTGAACAGGCTGCAAGTGTCTGCCAATGTGCAAACACACCGTGGTTTGATATGGTGGAAAAGCTACTTCTCTCTCCAAAAGAAACGAGCTCACCCGTAAGTTGCATCCAGACATGGCTGTCGGAAGCAGGCGTTTTCCAGTCTTCCAGCTGTTTGTAGCGGCTAAACATGATCAACCTGCCTGCCATTTCATGGCTTGTCGGCCTGAGCTGTGTCCAGTCCTCGACAGCGCCCAATGCAGCACGCGTTGAATTGAACCCACCTGTGTTGTGGTAAGTTTGCGACATACATCACAAGCTTCCAATATTTCTGTAAACATGAAGTGGCCCAATCATGAACTGATGTCCGCTCGGTGAACAGTTTGACCCAGGCGTTCCAAATGTGCAAAACTTCGTGCCATGGGGCTCGAGCCACGGCCCATGGTCCCATGGTTGAGTAGCTCAGGTAAACAATCGAAATTTCATCGGAGCGTGTTTGAGCAGTTCATCGCACGCTTTGTTCGAAAGTAGCCGCCAAACTGCTTCCTCCCTGCACCACGGGTTTCATCCAATGAAGAAAGCCAACAAGGTTAATGCTGTCTTCGCATCGGGGAGCTGAGCAAGCGACGGGTTCCCGGATCGGCTGGATCTTCGTCGCAGACCTCGCAACGTCGCGGATGGCTCGTGCGCGTGGCTCCTCTTCGCGATCTGCGCGGGGTAACCATACCGTGTGCGACCACACCCTGCGGACGGGGGGTGGGAGGGGAGTGAAATGCCCACTCACCGCAACCCCAACCTACTGCCAGGACTGCGTTGCAGATGGCGCGGGGGCCGCAGCCGGACGAACCGACAGGAGGGACTTGCAGTCAGCGCTCCATGGCCTGCCAAGCTCAGTCGCAAGGACGCACGATCGTTGGGCCCTTCCGCGCGCGTGAACTCCCGATAGCAAGTTTGCTTGCCCCGCTGTGCTGCCGCACGGGCAATGCCATCGCGCTCAGGCGCGCCATTAAGCCCCTATGTCAAGGTCAAGCCGTCGGCGGTCAACAAGGAGGGGCAGGAGGATGCGTCGGGCTCCAGGGCCGACGACCTGGACCCACGCCCGCTGGAGTGCAAAACCCCTGCAAGCACGCAGGCCCGTGCGCGGGCAGGCATCGCCCAACGCATCGGCCCTAGCACCCGACGAGGAGTTGCGGACCACCCCACAGCTCGGGATATCGCTCCTGCTTGCGCGGTCCCATGCGCTTCACGTCATAGCGGAACGCCTCACTGCCCGGCGTGGCCCGGTACACCATTAAGTCCAAAATAGCTGTCCCATAGTGGTCCCGGGTGCGAGCTGCGCAATGACCGTCGTGCCCACACGTCCAGATCTCGCCATGCCCAACAACAGTTCCGGATCCTGCTCCTGCACCGCCTTTGCATGCCGCTGCCATATTGGTGCCAAAGCGATGCCGCTGTGGGGGGCTTTGGACGAGTACGGCAAAAGGGAGAAACACCACAGATCGGCGTGCGCCCCAAGAGCTGGGCGTTCGGCCCGCGTTTGCCCAAAAGCAGGGGCACGCGTCGCCGCCATCGGACGCTTCGTGTGCTTGCTCGCCCGGTGTCGCGCTCGGGCGGTCCCGGCAGCATTCCGGGCCCGAGCCGCCAGCGCCTTCGTTGCCCGATATCCGCAGCCCGGGCTTTCGCGGCCACCCTCCTCGCGCTGCCAGTCGCCTCCACCGACAGCGTCGACGGAACCCTGCCTGACGTCAGCGAGGTCCTCGCAGAGGCCCGCTACCGCGAGGCCCGGCCACTCGCGAGCCGCCTGCCAGCTTAAATGGGGGGGGCTGACCCCTACACAACCAACAGCCCTGCACCGGGACCTGCGCGGAGCTCGAGGCAAAAAGGTGCGAGGAAAGATCACGCCTTGGCCCTCAATGTCCTGCACGACCGATTGGGTGCAACTACAAGCTGATATCAAACGAGACCATGCTTCCTGCGTAGACTTGGGGTGGCAACAGCACCTTCGCAGATGCGGTGGGCATCTTTGCCTCCACATTTCCCCTATGTGTGGGCTCAGCAAGCGCAGCACCCGGTTGCCATTGTTTTGTTTTTGAAGTGATTTTTGCTGGCTGCCCGCTGAAGCGCTGTTGCTCCAGACTGACGGTTTTATCTGTTTGTGCCGTGCCTCGAGCGCCATAGCCCCCGAGCAGGACAGCCGACTTCGCAGTTGCGCACAACCGGTCTGTCCTCACATGCCTTGCCACACTCCTTCGTGTTGAGTCCACCGGAGCCAACGAGCTTGTTTACGGGCGGGCCCAGCTTAGCTTTCGGCATGGGGGACTCGGGCTGCGCAGTGCGGCCAAACAAGGTCCAGCGGCATACTTCGCATCTTGGCTGACTGCATCCCGGCCATTTCCGCACGTGACCCCCAGCTAATCACCACAGCCACACGACAGTTGCAGGGACCGGCTGACGCGGCACCGTCACTCTCAGATTTCAGGGATGCGGTGCACATACGCACGGATGCAGGCATATGCAAGCTTCCAGGCCCCGCCGTGGGATCGGCTTGCCCCCCCAGCAGACTTCTGGCAGCGCAGTGCTTTCCTCATCCTTGACACGGGTTTCGCAGGTTCTCAAGCAGAAGAGGTGGACTCCCTTCGCAAGCGCTGCTTGAATCCCGGTGTATCCCGGTTAGGTCCCTTCGCAGCCAGAATTTTCACGGTCTTGCCTACCCCCCGAGGTGCGTCTCGAACCAGCTCTCTTCCGAGCGTTGTTGCGCCGCCTGCGCCTGCAATTGCTCCTGCCCTGTGCCCGTGTCGGAGCCGCTTTGGATGCTCTTGGCGACCACCGCGCATCACCGCGCCTCTTCAGCCCTGACAGCAACACCACTTGTTAAACAGGCTTCGGGGCCGGTCAAGCGACCGCAGGAAAGGCAGGTCGCATTGCCTGCTTGGCTGGCCGAGTTCGCGCTGGAGGATGGGCTCTGGCGATGGATTCGGAGCGGTTCTGCACGAACATACGGTCAGCGCGACGAGGCGCCGCTGCGGGCCCATCTGGATGTACGTCGGAACACCTACGTGTGCTATTGGACGACGGGGAATGCGTTGAGCTCATGGTGACGGCCACGGGCAAACTGGTGGAAGGGCGTGTGCCGCGAGGTTGTTGATGGACTTCGCTTCGGCCGGGTGGTCGCCCTCACCAAGCGCAATGGTGGCATCCGGGCCCAGGTCATGGACGATGCCTTCCGCCGCCTCGTGTCCCGCACCCTCGCCCAGCAGTTCGCGGATGCGGGTGCCCTCACATCCGAACTGCAACCCTCAGCCGGGATGGCGTTGGTGTGGATGGCGTCGGCGCGTACGCCCACATCTCCCGCGCAACCAGGTTCGAGGGGTAGAGGGGGAGACGGGAGCACTCATTCCTTGCCTGTTCTATAGGGTCCAAAGCACGTACGTGCTCTGCGATGCGAATGGCCGCGGGCACGATGTCATTCAGACGGAAGGTACTGAGCAAGGTGACTCGCTGATTAATCGCTGATGCCCGGGCGGTATACTGTCGGTGCACCCCGGTGCACTCCCCGTTGCAGCCGTGTGAGGAACTCTTTGCGTTCCTGGATGACACATATGTGGTATCCACGCCAGACTGCGAACGTGGACGTCCCCACTGGGGCAAAACGCGGGCTTGGAACTCGGCCGGGAGGAACCCTCTGGCTTGCGTGCTGGGCCGTCGGAGCCGCCGGTGCGAGGGGGACCGGTGCTCGGTACGTCTTTTGGCCCGGCCAGCCTCCGCGCCAAACTCGCCGACCACACGGTCCTGCTGACCAGCATCCCGAAAGTACCCGACTTGCAAGCTGCCTGGTTACTGCTGCTCATGTGTGCGGCGCCATGCAGCAACGACCCTTGGCGGGCGCGCTACAGGGGAGTTTGCCCGTGAACATGACGCTCCTGACGCTGTGATGCGACGTGGACGCCCTCAGCAATAACCAACCGCTCACCCTCGACATCCCTCGACCCACTATCGGCGCGGCGGGCGCAGCTTCCTCGCCGACTGGGCGAACTCGGACCAGGCAGGGCGGGAGAATGGACGCAAAGACCGCCTTCTTGCGCTAACTCGCCGCGGCCCGGGCACGCGAGGCACCCGCCCGTTTGAGGACTGCCGCACGCCGGGCCAGTATCCACAGATGAACTGGCATGCTTGCGGTGGCGGCCCAGTGCATCCAGTGCGCATATGCCATGTGGATGCTCGAGTTGCCGCTGACGCGGGGGATCTGTAGGCGGACGCATGCGGGATGGAACCCATCCCGGACAGCCGACCCCCGGCACTCCCTGCGGGTTGTACAAGGTGCGAGCCAAAAAGCGCGTGAGAAAACAAATGTTGTTTCATTGCAGCATGAAGAGCAACCTTGTTCTTTGCCAGCAGCAACCTAAGCAAAACCATGTAACGACCCATGTGTTTTTTTTTTTTTTTTTTTTTTTTTTTTTCCGGACTTTTATGCCTGCTGATCCATTTCGTCGGCTAAGCGGCTCCGAAACCAGACTACTACGCCCGCAGCGGCAGCCGGCGGGCTTCAGCGCAGTGGCAGGCGACTCGGTCCGTCCGGGTCACCAAGAGCCAGGACAGCAGCCAGGGTCGGCAGGCTGTCTTGCGCCGGCCCCGCTACCGCCCTTGTCCTCCCCAGCGCCGTTGAGCCGACCGCCTGCTGGCATGCGACGGACAGGGCGCTCCCACCACCTGCGTGCCCAGGCGACGCCGGCAGCCGTGCGCGGAGGTGCCGGGGCGCCGCAGGCCCGCAAGCGGACCAGGCGTCGCACCACTGACGCAGCCTCGGCGTTCCAGTGCCCCCCCAACCTCACAACCAAGCACGCAGAGCTGTTGCGCCCCCCCCCCGCCCTGTGCGAGCTCGGGGTAGGTGGCCCCCGCTTACGCCGCTCGGCCGTGCGCCCCGTCACGGTCTGCGGCTCCGCTGTGGGGCGTGCCATCCCTCGCCAGCGGCGAGACGAGTGTGGCGTCGCAGCGTAGCGCCCCTCCCAACGGGGTCGCCCCGTAGATGACGAGGTCCAAGCGGCGACGGTCCCTGGGGGCACTCCAGGTGCGGTGGTATGGGCCAGCCATTGCTGCGGCACCACTTTCATGCAAGCTGCCATCATTCCATTAACCATCCGGAGGACTCTCTGGCCCAATAGCCTCGCGTGCGACGCGCACCCAAGCGCGCTCGACGACTTTGGCACGGCGCGCGAGCAGGCCCGTGCAAGGGCAAGCCAAGGCATGGTCGCCGTGCTCATCGACAAGGCGGCGACCCCCCGGGGTGGACCCCCACCGCAACGCCGCGCGGCCAGCGGAAGCGACAGGCGGAGGCCTCGCCCGTGTTTTCGCTCCCATGGACCATAGCTATCATCGTGAGAATACTTACTTATAAGTTACAAGATTACCAAACGCCATCTGCTCGCTGCTCACGGCGAAGTTGATCTGAATACTTAGTTATAAGTTACAAGATTACCAAACGCCATCTGCTCGCTGCTCATGGCGATGTTGATCTTTGCGACATCAGCTTCTAGGGCTTTGACAAGCTCAAGGCTCGGAAGGTCCTAACACCACTGAGGCAACTTCCCCCTTTACCAGGGAGCGCAAGTCGCGGTTGACACCATGCTCGTGAGCCCAATCTCGCGGGACGGCACGGCTCGAGCGAGGGCAGGTCGCGAGCCAGGAGCGGCCGATAGCGGCCGCTTCCGACGCGGCTAGGTGGAAGCGCCCAGACACCTACCCGGAGCTCTTGGCGGCCCGCCGCTGCAAGCTGGTCGTCGGAGACGGTCACATTCCTCCGCCTGCTCGCCGATGCCCGCTCCAACGCGCTTGCGACCCGCCACGCGCCAAGCTAGCGCCCACAGATGGATGGGTTTGCTGGCGGTGGCGGCGCAGCGCGCGTTCGCCTTGTCACTCCTTGAGCTCCCGCTTGTAAGCGCGGAGCAGGGCGAGGGCGACACGCCCTTGGGGGACCTGTTGGCACAGGCTCGTGAGGCTGAGCAGGTCCCCGACAGGCGGACGCATGCTGACGCAAAAAGGAATGGCAAAAAAAACAGCAAAGGGTCCTTCGGCCACGCCCGTCGTTTCGTTGCCTTTTAACATTCATTACCTCAGCACGTTGCATATGCCTGCCCTTGTGGGGGTGACCGTGCTTGCGGCCCGTGCCTCAGCTGCTGGCCTCAGCCCAGAGTTTGAGAAGGTCGAACTGCTCCCTGCTCGGCCTGAGGACTTAGGTGCATCTGGTGCGGAGTTCATCTTTATTGTTCCAGGCCGAGTGCCAGTGCCATCCAGTGCCCAGCGCCCGGCGCCCGGCAGATGTCTATGTCCCGGCCTGGGGGCTTCATGGTGCGGCGTGCTTTGACCTCGCCGTCTCCAGCGGTTTGCGCTCCTCTGTCCTTACGAGAGCCGCAAGCGATCCCATCTTGCCACTGAGGCGCAGTGCCGTGCGCAGGGTCTACAATTCCTGCCGCTGGTTGCTGAGGCCTGCGGTGGTGGTTGCCGCGCAGGTCTGGAAGTCCTTGGCTTCTCTTGGGGCGGCGGCCCAGGCTCATGATGAGTTGCTCCAGTCACCCTCCAGCGCGTGAACGCGCGCGCCGTTCTACGTCGCCTTGCCTCTGAGGAGGCCGCTGCCCCAGCCCTCCCAGGATGTTGAGCTGCCTCACATGCCAGTTTGTCATCACGCCGCCCACCGCCCGGCTTTTGACCTGACAGACCTTTCCGCCAGCTGCGTTTCTTCGTGCACATACCCTGGCCTCTGCTTGGGTCCGTCAAGTTCTTGCATCATTTTCAGACCCATTGGCAAGTGTGGTGCTGGAGTTCTCGCGGGACGCCGGAGACTCGGGGCTTGCATGGGCTTGCCCTACGGCCGACCATGCTTTTTGCCTTAGTGTGGGATGGATGCATCCTGCATCGCCTGGGCATGTGCCGGTAGCGAGCGAGTTAGGCTTAAGAAGACCAGTTTTGTCCCACCCTCAGGAATTGGCGTGGAGCTTGCACATGCCAGCAGCCTCGCGATCCATGGAAAAACCAAGCAAAGTTCTGCGATATGTAACAGTTTGTCGTCTCAAAGAGGGGCAGCTTCAGAAACGGTTGGCTGTGGAGAAGGCCCACCCCGACCTCAAGCGTAATTGTGTTGAAATGAGTAGGTCCTTTATTGGGTGTTCCGTGTATCTGCATCCGAGATATTCCCGCTCCTGCATGATGTAGATGCAAGGGAGGAGTTGGAGGTAACGCGGAGGCGATGCATCTTCAAACGCCTGAGGGCCAAAGACGGGAGGAGTGACAAAGTGTTAAGGAAAACTAAGAAACAGTTGCGGCGTCACCGAAGCGAGCTTCTAGTTTGGGGAGCCGCCGCGAGCAACAGAAGCTTTCAAGACGAGGTGTTTTGAAATGGGTTATCCGCTGCGTAAACAGCCTTCTCAGAGGTTCCCCATTCTGGAGGCCAGAGGTACCTGAGCACTAGAAAGTGCGGCCTGCAGGTTTTGAGGGAATCGGGCGTTCTTGTGAGGAGAGCCACTGGCAACATTGCGAATTCACAGTTGGCATCCTCCCAGCCGCGACACTTGGCTACAAACGAAATGGGGCACCACCAGAGTTTGTCAGAATGGTTTTATCAAGTTCTGTTGTGGTTTTTCATGACTAGCTAAATGGAATCGGAGTGTCTCGTTTTGCTTAAGGCCGACGGTACATTGCCTATGGCTTGGGCGGCGCTCTAGCCCTTGGCTGTCTCGATGAAGGCTTCCGTCGCTGCTTGGAGTTCTGGGCAGCAGCCCTAGAGTGTGCCAGCGAACAAATCACTTGAGAAAGCACGTTGGGCTTTTGCCGTGAGGTGGTCGTTTTCCCATTATGGCGCTTGGCTTTGCAAAACAAAGATGCATGTGCAACGACGTTGTGGTCGCAAAAGCGAAGCAAATTGCGTGCCAGCAAAGGTGCCATTATTTTTGGGTTGACAAGGCATGAAGACGCAAGAATGAGTTGTTGCGGATTGTCCGTTCGTATGATTCACAGTTTCATGCTGCGAGGTGTCACACCGCAAAGATGGGCCCAAGGGTAACGAGCAGCGAGATGCTGAATTCTGCCACCTGTCTGCACAGAAGCGTTTTTGGTTGATGGCTGAAAAGGTTGAAGCCACCCAGTTTCTGACCAGGCAAGCTGCATGCACGTGGCTCTGATGCACTTCATTGGTACAATTCTCGTATTCCAGCATCGATTACCTGGCGAAAAGCGATTCAATCGCCATTGAGGTTACTCTCCCATCATCCGCCGAGCCACCTTGCCCCAAGCTTGTAATGGAAGTTGGTTTAGCAGCATGTGCAGCTTGCCAAACTCGCGGCATAGTAGAACTTGTGAGGTACATGCGGGGTTTCTACCTCAAAGCAGCGCAACTTGTGTCAACGCGAGATGATTTTCTGTGTGGTGCCCAGAGGTTCATGGAAGTTTTGCAGGTGTTTGGCCAAGGTGCTAGCTGGCTACCCTGATTTGCAGTGAGGCCAGAGATCTATTTGGAATGGACCAGAAAGTTGCAGGACGAGGACCGTGATCCCCAAGTCAGACGTCGAATTGTGACGATTGCCCATCATGGAGGTGCCCATGACGTTGTCTTCGGAGCAAGCGAAGCAGGTCATAGCAAAGGACAAGTTCCTAATGTCACAGATGTCATGGCCTAGCATGTCAGCTGCGCGTTCCCACGTGCTTTCCAGGAGCTGCGGTTGAACAGTGTCGAGGATGTGCTTGTTGATTGGCAAGACGAGCCCATTGGCACTGCTTCGATCGGTCAAGTCTATAAGGCATGATGCAGCATACTGAAAGCACACGGCTGCCTGTACTGCGTGCTAAATGGGGCATGTTTGCTGGGAAGGAGCCGTGCTGCAGTAGCGTGCCAGTCTGAAACTCACACTTGGTAACAAGTGTGCGGTTTGGAGGCCCGGCTGAAGTCCACTGGCGAGGAGGTCGCGATCAAGGTCCAAGTGCCAAAGGCTGAACGGATGTTTCGTGCCCGGCCCAATCTTCGCTGAACCCAGAAAGTACTGGCTGCCACAGGTGGCTAAAGCCATCTGAAGCCGGGTTTGACTGCCCCAGCACAGCATACCTGCAAGGTGCAGACATTTCGTGCTTGAAGATGTGCGGGACCTGGTGGAAGCTGCCTTTCTTCGCTGCCCAATGAGTGCTACAAATCGTCTAGGTTCACTTACATGGCAATACCTTGGGCTTACGATGCTGTGCTGCATTCTATTCACAGGGGCATCATGCATCTTTTCCACGTTCCCTGGGTCTAAGGAGAACATGAGAGAGATAGAAAAGCTTTTCGAAACAGAGTTTGACTACATGGAGGAGTTCCGCAGCATGGCGACGCATTGTTAGCCTTCCACGCTGAGTCTGGTAGACTATCGGGTGACTGGCACTTCTCTTGCACTGCGTTGTCCATGCCTTGGGAGGGGAGGGGCATGTCGATCGGAAGCACAAGAATTATATCCAAGCTATGCTTGCAACACGCAAGATGCCTAGCCGAGGAAATTTGGAAGCCATGCGGACAAATTTGCTGCCTTCTTGGGGCCACAAAATATACATCCCAAGGTGCACTACGCCACTAATTATGTGCCAATTAGGTTTGCTTTGTGCTGCCTGCAGGCCTATTCCTGAGCTTTGTTCGCGACACGTCCTGGGCATGGAGCTCTTGAAGGGCGAAAAGTGCTTCGACAGCACATGCCTTTGACCTCACTGGAAACTCTGTTTCGCGAGCGAAGAATTGTTTTAGGTTCGTCACTGCCGTTCGAAAGCGGTTGAAGCCCTTGGCCGAGCAAAGAGGAATGACGGTGGAGGAATACGAAGAGGATGCGCGGTCCTGCTTGTCCGCAACATGGGCTCAGCAAGCAAATCGCTACTCGAACTTCCGCCCATGCAGGAGCAAATGGAAGCATTGCGCACTGGGAAGCGCAAGGCAGAGAGCGCGACTTTGCTGGATTTGCTTCTTGACTGCAAGCATGTCTTCCATTGATGGGATGGCATCCTCAGGCAGCCTGGCTACATTGGAAGATGACATTGTGGCACTGGTGGCGAAGGTTGTGCGGAAACCGATCAGACCTGGAGCCTATCGATGTTGCTTCACTGTAAGCAGCCATTTCATGTGGATTGCTTCTACCCCAGCTGCCCGATGCCCAGGTTGGAGGCATTTTCGAGATGCTGATGTCAATCCATGGTCAACAAGTTCTGAAGGACGTCAGGAAGTTTGGTGATGGTGTGGTTGCAGAGTGTTTTTTGTAGAGTCTCGCGATGCGGTTCGCAGCTGCAGACGCCGGTTCGAAGGATGGATGTTTCAATGCTGACCCGCATCCAGGGAACATCCTAATGCTGGAAGATGGCAAAACGCTTGGCCTCATCGATTTTGGACAAGTGATGTATGTGCCAGTGGAATCCAGGCCAAAAATCAGATGTCGGCGGGGTGAGTTCATGGTCGCAAGTGCCAAGATCTCAGGGAGCCCAATTTAATTTAAGCCATGTTTGTCGTTTTGTTGTTTTTGCTCTTGCGTTGCTTTGATGGAATTGTTGGGTCGGGTAAGACTCTCAGAAGGAAGCATCGAAAGAACGAAAGACAGAAGTAAATAACACACAGAAATGCAGAAATAGCGAGAGGCAGGAAAGAGTTTCATAAATACGTAAGGACATGCAGTAAATACAGAAGTACAGAAATACATGAAGAGAGGAAGTAATGAAGAAACGTGCAGGAGGGAGAGAAGGCCGGAAATCAACAAAGAAAGTTCATGTAACGCACCAAGAAATCAAGAAGTAAAGAAGTTCAAAATTCAGAATTGAACAAAAATATAAATACAAGCGCAAAGTACAGCCAGAAAGAAATTATGAAATAGAGAAATACAGAAATACATAAATACAGAAATGAAGAAATACAGAAATAAAGAAATCAAGAAATACAGAAATCAAGAAGTACGAAATATAAATTCAAGAAATCAAGGAGCAAAGAAATACAAAAAAGCAAAAAGAAATGAAGAAAAAAAGAAATAAGGAAAAACAGACGTAAAGAAATAGAAATAAAGAAGTAAAGAAATACAGAAATAACGACAAAAAGAAAAAAAGAAAAAAAGAAAAAAAGAAATAAAGAAATAAAGAAATAAAGAAATAAAGAAATAAAGAAATAAAAAAAAAAAGAAAAAAAGAAAAAAAGAAATAAAGAAATAAAGAAATAAAGAAATAAAGAAATAAAGAAATAAAGAAATAAAGAAATAAAGAAATAAGAAAGAAAGAAATAAAGAAATAAAGAAATAAAGAAATAAAGAAATAAAGAAATAAAGAAATAAAGAAATAAAGAAATAAAGAAATAAAGAAATAAAGAAATAAAGAAATAAAGAAATAAAGAAATAAAGAAATAAAGAAATAAAGAAATAAAGAAATAAAGAAAGAAATAAAGAAATAAAGAAATAAGAAATACAGAAATACAGAAATACAGAAATACAGAAATACAGAAATACAGAAATACAGAAATACAGAAATACAGAAATACAGAAATACAGAAATACAGAAATACAGAAATACAGAAATACAGAGAAATAAAGAAAAAAAGAAATAAAGTTATCAAGAAATCAAGAAAAACAGAAATAAAGAAATAAAGAAACAAAGAAATACAGAAATAAAGAAATACAGAAATCAAGAAATAAAGAAATAAAGAAATAAAGAAATAGAGAAATAAAGAAATAAAGAAATCAAGAAATCAAGAAAAACAGAAATAAAGAAATAAAGAAGCAAAGAAATACAGAAATAAAGAAATACAGAAATCAAGAAATAAAGAAATAATGAAATAAAGAAATAAAGAAATAAAGAAATAAAGAAATAACGAAATAACGAAATAAAGAAATAAAGAAATAAAGAAATAAAGAAATAAAGAAATAAAGAAATAAAGGAATAAAGGAATTAAGGGATAAAGAAAAAAGAAATAAAGAAACAAAGAAATAAAGAAATAAGGAACTAAAGAAATAAAGAAATAAAGAAATAAAGAAATAAAGAAATAAAGAAATAAAGAAATGAAGAAATGAAGAAATAAAGAAATAAAGAAATAAAGAAACAAAGAAATACAGAAATAAAGAAATACAGAAATAAAGAAATAAAGAAATAAAGAAATCAAGAAATAAAGAAATAAAGAAATAAAGAAATCAAGAAATAAAGAAATAAAGAAATCAAGAAATAAAGAAATAAAGAAATACAGAAATACAGAAATGAAGAAATAAAGAAATAAAGAAATACAGAAATAAAGAAATAAAGAAATAAAGAAATAAAGAAATAAAGAAATAAAGAAAAAAAGAAATCAAGAAATCAAGAAATCAAGAAAGCAAGAAATAAAGAAATAAAGAAAGCAAGAAATAAAGAAATAAAGAAATAAAGAAATAAAGAAATAATGAAATAAAGAAATAAAGAAATCAAGAAATCAAGAAATCAAGAAAAAAAGACATAAAGAAATAAAGAATTAAAGCATTAAAGAAATCGAGACAGCAAGAAAACAAGCAAATCAAGGAATCAAGAAATCAAGAAATCAAGAAATCAAGAAACCAAGAAATCAAGATATCAAAAAATCAAGAAATCAAGAAATCAAGAAACCAAGAAACCAAGAAATCAAGAAATCAAGAAATCAAGGAAATCAAGGAAAGCAAGAAATCAAAAAACCAAGAAATCAAGAAACCAAGAAACCAAGAAATCAAGAAATCAAGAAATGAAGACATCAAAAATCAAGAATTCAAGAAATCAAGAAACCAAGAAACCAAGACGCCAAGAAACCAAGAAACCAAGAAATCAAGAAAGCAAGCAAGCAAGAAAGCAAGAAAGCAAGAAAGCAAGAAAGCAAGCAAGCAAGAAAGCAAGAAAGCAAGAAGCAAGAAAGCAAGAAAGCAAGAAAGCCAGAAAGCGAGAAATCGAGAAATCGAGAAAGCGAGAAAGCGAGAAAGCGAGAAATCGAGAAAGCGAGAAAGCGAGAAATCGAGAAATCGAGAAATCGAGAAACCGAGAAAGCGAGAAATCGAGAAATCGAGAAATCGAGAAATCAAGAAATCAAGAAATCAAGAAATCAAGAAATCAAGAAATCAAGATATCAAGATATCAAAAAATCAAGAAATCAAGAAATCAAGAAACCAAGAAATCAAGAAATCATTAAACCAAGAAATCAAGGAAATCAGGAAATCACGAAATCAAGAAATCAAGAAATCAAGAAATCAAGAAACCAAGAAATCAAGAAATCAAGAAATCAAGAAATCAAGCAACCCAGAAACCAAGAAACCAAGAAATCAAGAAATCAAGAAATCTAGAGATAAAGAAATCAAGAAATCAAGAATCAAGAAATCAAGAAATCAAGAAATCAAGAAATCAAGAAATCAAGAAATCAAGAATTTCAGAAATAAAGGAATATAGAAATCAAGAAATACAGATGAAGAAACGCAGAAATAACGAAATCAAGAAGTAAAGAAATAGAAATAAAAAATGAAGAACCAAGAAATACAGAAACAAAGAGATAAAGAGAGAAAACAAAAAGAATTAAGAAACATCGAAATACCGAAACAAAGAAATACCGCAATAAAGAAAACGAAGTTCATAAATTAAGAAATTAAGAAATACAGAAACAAAAAACACACAAATCAAAGAATGAAGACCTAAGAAATGAAGAAATAAAGAGACAAAAAGCTAAAGAACTCAAGAATCAATAGACAAAGAATCAAGAAAAAAGAAACCAAAGACATAAACACATCACGAAAGAACTACAACCGAGCAAACCAGAGACACATACAGAACGAACGCAAGTCCGGTGCAAGCTTTCGTCAGCGGCAGGCAGACAGGCAGGAACGATCAGACGAAAGAAGCGCAGCTGCATAGCATCATGCAAAGAATGACCGGGAAAAACGAAAAGCAGGAAAGAGGGAAACAAAACTCGTACAGAGGAACAGAATACGTCAACAGGTATACTACTGTTCTTACTGTGACTACTCTTACCACGGTGTTTTTGCTTTCAAGGACCTGTAAGCATTGCTACTCTACCATTGTTCAATAGTACCCGCATTGGTAGTAGATCATGAATACTGCGACTACTACTGCTATGTACTACTGCTACGTTGGACTGCTGCTACTGCTACAACTCCTTAACGATTGCAGTGCTGCTATTTGCATTTGAGTAACTAGTAACTTGCTACTATCTGTGGCCTTGGCGGCACCGCAAGCATGTCCTGGCGCTGTCCTACAGGATTGAGGGTTTAGGGTTGAGGCCCACAACCCTAGACCCTGGGTGGGATGTCAGCATGGGTTAGGCTGAGGGTGCCCTGAATCGTTCCTGACGGTTTAGGGTTTCGGGATTGCACGGTTTGGGGTTTGGTAGGGTTCGAGGTTTGGGGTATATTTTTTCATACTGAGGGGCTTAGAATCTAGGTTGGGTTTTTCAGAAGCGAAAGAATAGCCAGACGGGGCGTTGGGGGCTGTGTGCCCCCTAGCTCCCGTCCCCCCAACCCCTTGCATTAGATGTTCCGAGGAGTTCCGCATCAAACTTGCCAAACTCATGCTTGCCCTTTCGCGACGCAGCCCGCCTGACGTGGCACGATGCGAAAGCAGCTCGACTGCATGGTTGGCGCTGCGTCGGCTGAAGTGTGGGTTGCGCACATGAAGTCTTGAGCTTGCAAGTAAGGTGAAATTGGCGCAACTTGACTCCTGCTTAGCGTCGCCGAACTCGCGATTCCCAGCGGTTCCTTGCAAGTTCCTGCAGCATCTTGAAGTTTCGAAGCTGACAGAAGGTGAAGCGAAAGTATTACAAGGAAGATGTGCAGTACCGGATTTGCTCCTTCTGGCTTGACCGGGACGATGAGGCGCACAAGCTTTTGTCACGAGCAATGTGTGTGTGTGTGTGTGTGTGTGTATGTGGCGTTCTTTGGTTGTAGCAGTCGCTGTTTGCAATCCCAGGAGATCACACAGGGTCGCAATATCTTTGACTTGATGGTGTGGGGAGAGGCAGAGGACAGTCGCCAACCAAGATCCAAGTCACTTGATGAGCCCTGTGGCTGTCACCTGGTTGTCCTTTGATAGCGCATTCAAGTGCATCAGGCAGAATCGCGGATGTTCTGTGCATTCTGTGCAGGTTAGTGTTAGTGATCGCAGGGCTTGCTGTCGTCTGCTTGACCATGTTTGTTTTGCCGCAGCCTTCGGCCCTGCCCCGCCCACTATCACCGATGTCCTCCTTCGCGGACTTGTTGTCAGAGCTTCAACACAGGCCCGGCCAGCTTGTTAAAACTCCCCCGGCATGGGCTAGTATCGGCTAGTATCTCAAGCAACCTCGTTCTTTGGCTGTCTTGCTGAGAAGCTGTAGCGCGGTCTAACACCGTGTCAGGTACGAAGCAGATGTGGCAAGCCTTACCGCGCAGTGCCACCGCCTTCTTCGTGAGAACGAACAACTGAGTCGCGGCCAGGGCGTGCAGGCTTGCTGCTTGTTGGTCGCAGCTATCAAAGCCGGGGGGAAAATGGGGGAATGACGGGGGGATGACGGGGGGATGACGGGGGTCCCCTGTGACGCTTCTTCAACGAAACCCCTATTAGACCCGCAGCCCGCTGAAGCGCTATTGCTTCAGTTTGCAGTGAGCTCAAAGACCCTCACCGAGCGCAACATGCTACAGGCCTCATGAAAAGGTTATAAAAGACACGGTCGCTCACCGATTCTGTTGCCTGACACACGAGGCGTGCCCCGTACTGGTGCTTTGACTTGCTATGTATTGATTTTGCCGTCTTCACGCCTCCATTGCTTATGTCTTGTGGTTCACTCATTCCCCCGGTTTCGTCAGATTCCGGCAAACACCCTGCACTGCGATACTTGCTTCTTTTTTGTACGTCTAGCAAGCTTGGGCGCACCCTGTTTGGGTAGAACAGGTAGCCAACTGCAGACTCGACATGGCTCGACACTGAAGGTTTATTAGAGCAAGAGAGAGAGGGGGGACACCTATCCCGGACCCAGATTCAGGTCTAGAGATGTTAGCGTGGTTGACCCTTCAAATCCACCTCGTTCGCATTGCTGTGTTCCAGGTAGCACGCATGCTGTGATGCCCCGACCCGGCTGGCCACCTTCGCATTCATGTCAAGGTCTGTTGAGACTCCTGCGGGCCCACAGGCCGTGCTTCACTGCCCATTGTCGCCGTGTAGCAGGTCATGAAAGGCACTCCGGTGAGGTCACTGCGGTTAAGGTCCCAGCCTCCAGATCTTCCTTGCCATCTTCTCCTGATGTCAATCAAATTACGTGGTGGGTGCGCCGGAGGAGCTCAGCTTGGCATGCTGATGGAGCTGGCCCTGCCCAGTTCCCTTCCCGTTCTTGCCGTCCTTGTTGCGGATCAGTATGCCACGGCCGTGTGTGAACCCCTTATCATAAAGCTTCTCTCAACTGGCACAGCCCACTTGCAGAGTTTACAAGAAGGGCGGTTCCTCCTTTAGTTGCTACCACTGCTAAATTCCTACAGAAACAACAAGACATAGAGAACTAAGAACACACGAAGAACACACGAGAAACATCAAAGCAATTCAGTGTGGGGGCGATAAGCAAGGGTGAATGTCGAGATGCCGCAAGTTCGCTAGGGATGATGCCATGCAGAGTTGAACATTGTGAAAGTCTCACTATCGCGCATTGCACAAATCCCAAACAAGTGGCCTTGCGACGTCTTGTGCCTTTGTTGCTTACACACGCATCAGGCGGTGCGCAATCAGCAGGTTTCCGAGGACAGTCAAGTGAAATCATTGCCCCACACCCTGGAGCCCACAAGAAGATGCTCAATGTGCATCAGGATGATGGAGTTCCATCTGAAGTTCAAAATGACGTCAGCAAAGGATCTGATCTTGCTTCTGCCGGTTCCAGGTGCTGAATGCCGAAATGACTGCTTTCTTATTGCACAATTAAGCAAAGGAATTAAATGTCGCTCCCAACCAGGACCAATCCAGGCCCCAAGAAAGATGCGACGACGTATGGCATCACAGGCTCAATGCAATCTCGAACGTCAGTGCTGCCAAAAACGCTGCGTGCCTGCAGTGGAGAGCGGAAGAGAGGCTGCACATCCTGTTGGCATATGATGGCCGGCGGAAGTGTGTGTTTTCTTCACAAGCTGTCCTTCTCTTCAGGAACACAACGATACTGGACGACAGCCGGCTAGCGCGTTGGCTCGCCACAGCGATGGAATGGTGGTCGCGGCTGGAAGAGCCACCTCGCAGCGGACCCATCTACAAGCTTGTGGAGTCGAGATTCTTCTGGCGCCTCCATGTTCTTTAATGGCCTTTGGTGGAAAGCCTTCGGGCATGAGTCTCTTTCGGAAGGCCGCTGCATGCAAGTGCTCTCTTGTTGTGAGGTGCCTGTCGATCTTGGTGATATTGGTCAATGCTTTTTCCATTACGCGGCTCACAGATACTTGGCTTTCCCCCGATGTTGACTTGTGCAGTCTGCGTCTAGGTGAAGTCGTCGCGAAGCTTCGGCATTAAGGGCCTGTTTGTTGCCTGGTTCACTTCTGCAGGATATCGCCTTGGCAAGGAATGGACATGGAGGCATTGAAGCAGTCTTGTGCTGTTTGTGTTTTCGATTCGAGTGGCCCCTGGCTGTGAGGACTATCGCCATTCCTCATCAATGTGGAGCTAACTTGCCTTGTAGTTCTGCAGCAAGGAGTACCCCCCCCCCCCCCTGCCATCCCCCCTGCTGGCCCTGTGGGAACCGTGTTGACGCCCGCAAAAGGGTGGGAATAACCTCGAGTCAGCATTCATTGGCATTCCTGCCTCCCCAAAATCGTATAGTTACACTGTCTCTGTTGCCGAGACCTTCTACTTGGTGGAGCTCGTGCTGCGCTTGGTGGTTCATCGGTTCTATTTCCTCATAAACGAGAACTCATATTGGAAACTCGCCCTGCCCATGGTGCTTCGGGAACCTTGTAGGACAAACCCCAAAAGTCCCAAGAGCTTTTGCTGTCCTTGTCTCCACTACGGCACCACAATTTCGTCGTCGTCCAGACAAGGAACTGGCTTGATCTCCTACTTGTGGCCTTCAGCCTCATCGAAATTGTGGCTCTATGGGGCTCTGACGGCGAGTCTGGCACGATCATGTACATGCAACTTGCATGAACTTAGTGGTAAGATGCGAATAATGCAGGGCGATGCATGTTGTCGACCATCCTCAGCTTCTCTGGTTGGCAAGGAGAACTCTTCGGATATGCAAGGTCTCGAAAGCCGTTCGCATCTTCCGTGTTCTGACGGCTTTTCGTGAACCTTGGCTTCCGTGTAACATGGTGGACGTTGGTCTGCTTCGTCATGTTTCGACCTCAAGCTCCGACCCCAAGCCCAGAGAGTTGTAAAAAAGCGATCCTGAGAGATCCTGACAGATTTTGACAGAGATGCCCAGCAAGGAGTTGGCAGGTTTGTTGGAAAACCTTCGCCAAAGCCTTATGGCGATGTTTTGGAGCCTGGCATTGCTGAGCTTCCTTCTTTATCTGAGTGCCTCGGTTTTCCTGCCTACAGCTTTGTGAACTTGAGCTAGCGCCTAGCGCCTAGCTCCAGCCGTTTTTCATCCTGGACCCGAAGCCAAGCTGAGGTGCCCTGATCTTTGCGCAGGGCGTGGCAGATGGCATGAGCGATGCCCACATAGTGCCCCAGGACGCCTTGGACCTGGGTTTCGGCTCCGTGGTGGAAACCATGGTGTTGCTGTACATGAGTGTGACGGGCGGCAACGACTGGATCCAATACTACAAGGTCTTCCAACAACTCCAGAGTTACTACCACTGGCTGTATTTGGGCTTTATCTTTTTCTTCACCTTCGCCCTTTTCAACATCTTGACTGCCCTGTTTGTTGAAAAGGCAGTTGCCGCTTCACGCCCCGATCGGCAGCAGCAGATGAGCCTCGAACGGAGGAAGTTCGCTGAGCAGGCTGCAGAGTTGTGTGAGCTTTTCTCCAAAATGGACAGGGACAATAACGGGCGCATTACCAAAGAGGAGTTCGTGGAGTGCATGGAAGATGGAGACATAATCTCGTACATGCTCAGTGTCGGCCTTGATGTCTACGATGCAAACTACCTTTTTGAGCTTGTTGCTGACAGTTCAGGTGAGCTGGAAATTTCACGGTTCGTGGATGGATGCATGGCAGTCAAAGGCACCGCCTCCGCTCTCGACATACAGAAGCAATTGGCTCACATAGAGCATCTGGAGAGGAAGCTTGACTCATGGGAGGTGGAATATTGGCCGGCACTGATGAGTTTCGCTGCCGGGGTCCACCTCAGGCTTTAGCAGGTCACCTGCCATGCATCACGCGTAGATGAAGCCATTTAGTTGTGATTTCAGGATCTGCTTCTTGATCAAATCCTACAATAAGAGTCGACCTGCACCGCAAAAGTGCAGCAGCTGTCGGCAGACGAAAGAACCCCCCGAATTGTGCGAACCCCTTTCTCTCCAGATGGAGAATGCAGCTTGAGGCCAAACTATCGGGGAACCACCCGGTCAGAATTGGCTTTCTAGATTGTTACAGCATGTCAGGGGCAGTCCGAATGGAACCCCCGACTTGCAGACAGGCAACCTTTCCACTCTTGCCGAAAACTCGGTCCGTTGCATAAGCCATGCATGGTACCATGGCCTTGGTCGGGAATGCTTGCGCTGGAGCATGATATGTGCAAGGGACTAGAATCAGAGTGCCTGCACGCATCAATCTTCCAGTACTCAGTGAAGACAGTGACGAAGAGGGAGTACATGTTGTGGCAGTATCAGATCACTCGGTTTCTCCTCTGTCCATTATGTCGTCTAGATGCGGATATAGTACGATGGTTTTCTCGACCTGTCTGTTCCTCGGGAAACGTTGCTGCAGGTGGATCGTCGGACAAAGCCCCAGCTTCCTGAGGATATTGGAGATCCCAGTGATTCTTGCTTCTTTTTTGCATCTCCCCCTCCCTCTCTGAAGAGTGCCTGGGCATGGCGTCCTCTCACAGCACTACGGCCCTGGACGTGCAAGCATGCATTCC